GCAGTGAGAGGCCCGCGTACCGCAAAAAAAAAAAAAAAAAAATAGAAGCCAAACCCCTTACAATGTCCCTTAATGCCATGAGTAATCTGGTAGGTGTGTTAATTATCTTGATCTTGATAATCACTTCATAATATATGTGTATATCAACTCATCATGTAGTATACTTTAAATATATATAATTATATTTGTCAATTATTCCTCAATAAAGTTAAAGAAGAATAAAGAAAATAAATAAAATTATGACCAGTGAGATCATTAGTCGTGTAGGAAAGAATCACTTAGAGAAGTGGAAGTGTGCGTGTTGACGTTATTTACTGGGTAACCATGAAATCAGGCTGTCTGGTTAGTGTGGAAACCAGTTTGTGTGGGGACGACTGGGAGACTTCATCTGACTGTAGAGTCCCGGCAAGACAAATCGGGGACTTGGAAATGTATCTGGCTTCCTATGCACGCATAATAGGGAGAACAGAAAAGAAGACAGACTTGAATAGAGCTGGGTGTTATGAAACCCAGAAGGATAGAAGAAAAAGAAGACAAAGAACTAAGGTGATGCTTCTAGGCTTGTCCAGTAGTATTTACCAAAGCACAGTTCATCCAACATTGGCATTGTCGGGCTTCCCTGGTGGCGCAGTGGTTGAGAGTCCGCCCGCCGATGCAGGGGATGTGGGTTCGTGCCCCGGTCCGGGAAGACCCCACATGCTGCAGAGCGGCTGGGCCCGTGAGCCATGGCCGCTGAGCCTGCGCATCTGGAGCCTGTGCTCCGCAATGGGAGAGGCCACAGCAGTGAGAGGCCCGTGTACCGCAAAAACAAACAAACAAAATTGGCCTTGTCATCATAGGTGGTCCTTAATAAAATGCAGATTTTTGGTACCCAGACAAGTCATACTACATTAAAATAACTAGAGCCTGATTCCATTTATCTGTCTTTTTAACTCGATTCCTATATGATTCTTAAAATCCAGAAACTATAGTTATGAGTTCATTAACTTCTTCATGAGGAAGGATTTGTGAATACATTAGGAAATGTATCCTACTCTTAGGTATTTAGGTGCCAAGGTTAGTTGAGAAAAAAACCTGTATTTTATTTACTTGTGTTATTCTGATTAATTGAAGTTAATTGTATTTATTATTCTAAATGTCTGAATTTGCTGAATCCCTTCAAGTTCTGTAACACAGACACAGCTGAACTACGTGATCCCAATAACCGGGGATGATCTGGATGTCCAAACCTTTATTAAGTTTGCCAGACAACTAGTTGAATAATACATGGTTCCCAGGTACATTGATGGGAGAAGCAGCGCTATACGGACTGATTTTCCGTATAGCTCTGTATAGCGCTCCCAAAGGGGAGCTCAACGATCAGGACTCACCTCCTGTTTTGTTATAGAGCTCACGGCAGAGTTTTTCAGCCACGTGATGCAGAGTCTCTGCAAGCTTCCTTTTCTGAGTCTGGAGAGATTGCAGCTGTCGGGAGAGATTCCCCAGCCTTTCTTCCTTTTGAGAAATGTTTTCTTGCTGAGTGTTGGAGAGCTGGTAGAACTGAAAAACTAATCCAATTTACCAAGTCAGACTGGACACCTTATATTCTTCACTTCTATTTCTATTTCTATTTTCTACATCTGGGGAAGACAGCAACAGTATGTTATTTAAGATCCCAGGCTCTGAGCGCATTGCCTACACTCAGGTTTGGACTATAGTACATAATAAATTGTATTGCCTTGGGCAAATTGATTTCTGTTTCCCTATCTGAAAATATGGAGTCATAATGACAATTCCTGACTTCAGGGATAAATTCCTTAACCATATTTACTGCTCAATAAATCTTTCTGTGTACACTGTCAAACCGTTACTCAACCTAAAATCATAAATCCATTTATCTATTGATCGGTATATTGACAATGTACCATACATTGTTATCCTATTCAGTCACTGAAAGAGTCATGTTATTGTTTCTATATTTTTTAAGCTTTGCAATTGGGCTCAGTGAGAATAGGTAACTTTCTTAACATCACTTGGCTAGAAAATTTCAACACTTAGCTTTAAACTCCAGGTTTCTAAATCTAAGTAAAAAGAATTCTTCATGAATCATGAGAGTTGCTTTATACCACTAAAAAGAATGGTTTATGCAAACGAACAGTTATATCAAAATGAAGTGAAAATTTGGGAGCCAGGGTAGAAACACTAAGATACATTTTTTTTTAATTTTAAAATTTAAGATTACAAACAAGTTCTAAAATTTCCTATAAAAAAATCCAATTTTGACATTTGAACCTGCTTTTCTATGTGCTCTTTTACCTTGAACCACCTTCTTCAACTGTTCAGGACATATTGCTGTAGGGTCCCATCTGATGAAACCCATTTACTCACTTCCTTTTTAAGTTTTTTACTCTGTCCTTACTAGTTTGAAATTTAAAGACTTTATACGTGAATTCTTCCTTATTTGATTTTCATGAGTCTTTGCAAAATGATTCTATAACTTCCTGGACTTTTTGAAAAATATAACAGTGATTAAGACCTGGTCTCTTCTCCGTATATCGAGGGGGTGGGATATAAATGAAATCTTTTCCTCTGATTAGCTCACTGAGCCGTGAATGCTAAAAGCAAAAACCACTGCCGCTGTCGTCTTTTGTGGAATGGAAGAGGGCTGGAGTATGCATTCATTAAAAACTGCTGATGTTAAATATTGATATATAAACAAACAACAATATTGATATATAAACAAAGAACAAAACCCTTCTTATCTCAGAATGTAAAAGTCTAGCTGGTAAGTGACTGTTGTATTTTAATCTTTCTTCCACTACGCTTGTGATTTACAGAGTTGCATTAGAATAAGGTACATCATTTACAGAGTTGCATTTCAATAAGGACTTATTCACAGGCTCCAGAATCAAAGTAAAAAAAGAATATCATAACAAGTATTTCTCATCCTAGACAAACCTTGGAACCAGGATCTTCCCCCAAGTCAGAGTGCAGACTTACACACAAGCCCCAGAGCTGCCAGGCTAATCACCAGCACCAAACACAGAGTCAGCAGGATCAGGGCCACTGGACGCCAAGCAGAAGAGGGACGCCGGGGCTCTGCAGGGGACAAAAGAAAAGACACTTTTTCTTCCTCTTGGATCTGTGTCAGCAGCAAGCTAGTGAGAGGAGTTGGTTCCAGGAAGGAGCAAAATTTACAGGACAACAGTATTCAGGGGCTAGATAACATTCCCTCTGTCCTAGGAAACACTGTCACAAGGCTCCACGCCAAGCCTCACTTACCACGGCTAGATTCTTTCACAAGCCCCACCCACTCCTACCCTCCCCATCCACCCAGTCCTACTTTGCACTGAATCAAGTTATGCATTACCATCATCTCCATACGGCTATTTGTATAACCTTTCTGTCAAAATTAGAGTTGTAAAAGACTCTCACGAAAATGCCTTAACAAAGAACAATTTTTCACATCGTCAGAGAAGAGGTGGAATTAATTTGTTGCTACGTTTTGCAAAACGCCCCCTTCCCATATGGTTCTTCTGAAAAAGCAAATTGCCTATCAGTAACGAGAAATGATTGTTTTACTGCTTCTTTTGGGGGATTTCTTTGTCAAAAGCCTCTCTCTTGTAAGGATTTTGTTTGCTCATTCATTTGATTTTATAGCTCCAAAAATAGATTATAAAAGCAACATGATCATCAGTTTCTCAACGATGGATCTAAGTGATCTCAACTTTGTATCTGTTAAGTAAAAAAAGAAAAAAAAAGCTGTAGCCAGCATCCTTCCTTTGCCCACGCCCCACGGGTTTGCCTTGTGGTGACTGCAGAGGCTCTGCTGGGTCAAGAGTAAGCCCATCACCTAGTGAGGTCAACTATCAATCTGAATAGCCCGCAATATCTGATCAGGAAGACCCTCAATCAGCTGTAGGTATCCTCTAGCATTGTGATTAAAATAAAGGGACAGTAAAACCCTCAAACAAACCCTGGTCTCTCCCTGACCTGTGAGTTTCACTTCATTGGGAATTCAAGTCTGGTTCGAAAATAGAAGGATTAAAGACACAGAAATTCATTTCCTCTTTAGCAAAGTCCTCTGTGTGATAAATTTCAGGTACAGAAATTTGTGCCAAACGTTATTTCCAAATGGGGAATGATAACTAGCAAAGATAGTATAGAAATAGAAAATATGATCACTATCCTCTGAGACTTACAATCTAACAGGGAAAATAAGTAAAAATCAGGATACAGACATTGATATATTTTAAAAAGTGAACCTTATTTTCACTTTATAACTATATCCTTCATAAAAACTTTCAATAGTGTGCATTATTTTTAGAATAAAATCTACATCACTTTTCCTAAGACCCAGATGGCTCTTTTTAAAAAGTGGACATTTTATTATGGTACGTTGTGATTTAAAAACTGCCTGTAGTTTTATTGTACTTAGAATAAAATTCTACAAGAATCTTTTTCACCTGGGCCCTACTTAGGTTTGTCATCCATTTCTGAACTATTCTTCTCTCACTCAAATGCTGTAGTCACAGTGGGCTCCTGTTTATCCTTGATCCAAACAAGTGTGTCCATGTCTTGGTACCTTTGCATTAGCTCTTCCTATACCCTTGCATTAATCAGTCTTCAGATGGGTTATTGGTAGCCTACTTTCTGTTACCCAGCTTTCCACTTAAATGGCACATTGTTGGAAGATGTCCTTGGAAGTCCATTTCTAGCACATCACCGCATTATGTATGCTTTTTAAAAATAAGATTATTAAGTGATATTTCCATGGTTTTCCTTTGTTTTTGTCTATCACCTCCCCTTGAATGTACATTCCATTGAAACAATGATCTTATCTATCTTGTTCACAGTGTATTTCCAGTACTGAAAATAGTGTCTGGCATATAAGGGCTGAATACATATTTGAACGAGTGAATGAATGAAGAATGAAATTATGAAAAATTAATATTACCTAACTATGTAATTTTCACAGAGGCACAGAGCCTTGTGGTGATTGCAGAAGCTCTGCTGGGTCAAGAGTAAGCCCATCACCTAGTGAGGTCATCTAAAATAACCTAGTGAGGTTATCTAAAATTAAACTTTACAGGTTGATTTTTTTAAAAAAATCTATTGACTTTTCAGCAATATTTCTGTCAGCACAGGGCCGACTCAGCTAAATTCATCTCCTGGCCAAACTGGTTTCTATACACTGACTTATGTGAGATTCTGAATCATAAACAGATATAATAGAGATCTGCTTTCTCCCCTATCCTTCAATTAGCTGGCTTATCTGATTTGGCCTAAATTTTTCTGGAAATTGCTAGCTTCTCACGGCATTGTCCTTAAGAATATCTCAAATCAGCAGAACATAAAAGAATAAGATCACAGAGCAGAATATAGCTTAAGCTAGACATCCTCTCCAAAACCCTACGTCTCTTTAAAGTTCTATATAGCCCAAGAAAATTAACCAGGTGGATGTTTCTAGACTCCAGAGGAAAGTACATATGTAGACCCACCACCATGGTAGCTTTATTTTCTCCATCATCTGTTATTACCATCCAATATACTCTATATCTTACTTATTTGAGGGAAGGGGGGTCATGTCTGTCTTACTCCAGGAGAAAATAAGCTCCTTCTTGGAAAAGAATATTGTCTGTTTAGTCGCTAGAACATCAGTTCTGGCACCTAGAACATCAGTTGAAATAAGTTCAGTTCAAATGGAATGAATGAATGTGTTTAGTATGTATAAATATCTATTATATACTTGGCTCTTCCTGCTGAAACCTATTGATATTAATACACATCTCAAAGGCATAAAATTTTAAAAGATCCTGTCCCTTTTTTATGATTAATAATTCCCCAGCCAAAATTAGAAATAAGAAGAAAGTAAAGGAGAAGAAGAACTATGTAAATCAACCAACTCATTTATACCTCCAGAAACCCACTTTTCCTTGTATAATATTTGGGGCAAGGGAGATGTTGACTTTCTGCCCAGAGGATCAACAAGAGTGGACTTAAATCCTTACTGTGAAATGAGGGGATGGAATTTAGGGATTAGAACATTATTTAATAATAATTATATCCATGCAAAGAATAAATACATGATCCTTCCTAAGGCTGCCTCTAGGACATAATAAGAAAGAAGTGTAGTGTATCTCTGCTAAAGGACACAAAGTTTTAAAAGTTCCCTTCTAAGGAGTTATCTTTCCCTGATCATTTGGAAATGTCTTTACCCGAACTCTCCTCTCTCTACCTCTTCCTTGCTCCCTGTCTCCTTCCCTCCCTGCTTCAATATTCACAAGCCCTCCTGTTTTAACTAAAGACCCAGAGAAACACAACCCTAGGGAGTTTCTACAGCAGGTGTGACCGTTTCCTAGGAAACCAGGCTTCCATGATGGAAAGGCTATATAGTGTTGAAAGTTTTATTTTTTCCTTTTCTTTGAAGCTGTATTTCCCTCTAGGTATTTTCTTTTCTGACTGTGGGTTTACCGTTCCTGAGTTTTATTCCTAGTGCCCTGATCATAATGAGGTCTCTCTCTAGGGACCACTCCCACCCTAAAATAAGAAAAAATAAGCTGCCTGGGAGGTGCTTCAGTTTGGCTTGGCTTTCTTACGGTTTTAGTTTTTGGAAGAGAACCCCTATGCTGTCTCGAGGCATGTTTAGAAAAAGGTGTGGACAGGCCAAGGAATGATACAAAGATCCCTAGGAATAATAAGATATATATAGAAAAAAACACCCCTTTCCTGTATCCTCTTACTATAACTGTACTATAAAACTCTACAGTGCTAAGGTCAAGTTTTGAATATAAATCCCTTTGTAGTTATGCGAAACTTTGTGGCTGAAGAGAGTTGTCATACTTGACCAGCTGCCCTTCATCAGGCATCAGAGGGAACACTTTGTACACCTCCACTCCCAGGCCTTCTAAGAAATGAAACAAACATTACCAAATGTAGGCTATTAATATGCCTCTGAAATAGAAAGGATCGTAAAAGCTTGAAAAGACACAAAGAATTTAAATAATTTGCACAAAGCCACATTGCAAACTAGTCGCAGAGCCAGGATTAAATTGTCACGCTTAGCACCTCAGTTTGTACATTTCCCTGTGAACCACAGCACATCAGTTTGTACCCTTCCTGTGAACCAGCCTCACAGAGACATGGGGCTAAACAGGTGACAAGGTATATAATATTTCAGAAGTGACTTGGAGGTTCTGTGGTTTGAGCATAGTTTTCAGTGTTCGTGAAAATGCATGTTTCCTTTCTCTTATGAATTGATTTCAAATATTTGCTATTTTCATTCTCAAAGTAAATGAGCGTTACTCCTCCTATAATTTCAACAGACTATACTTCTAAAAACATATAAGCTATTTCTAGAATATCGAGTTTCTAATTCACAGCAATTAGAAAGTCAATTGTATTTTTCCTTCTCCTTTTGAGCAAAATTTACATGAGTCCATTGTTTATCCAGTCAAGGGGTTTTGTTTCTGAAACATAATTCAAAAATAACATTACTATTAATGATAATTGCTAACATTCCTTGAGTTACTGAGATACATGCTGTATATGAATTATCTCATCGATCTTTACAAATACCTTATGAGGTAGATGCTATTATAATCCCAATGTTATAGGTAGGCAACTGAGACCTAGAGAGCTTAGTTGCCTTACCCAAGGACACACAGCGACTGACAATAGTACTCACTGAGTGTGTTGTAGTATTTCATTTGAATCTCCCAATAATTATTCAAGAGGGCTCTATTTTTTTTTTTTTTTTTGAAAATTTGGAAGCCATTTTAATAAATGAAAAGTCCAGCAAAGGTACATTTACCGAGAATAAAGCTTCCCAGGATAATGAAAGTGCCAGGTAGTTTGAGGTGTTTTTGTTGCTGGTAACTGATGTTACTTTTGCTCTGCTTTTGTTTGGAATTGCAGCGGACACTGTGGTGACTGCTCCCCCCTCTTGCAGAGCCAAGGTTTAGAGCAGCTGTTGTACCAGGAAGCCCTTGAACTAGTTTAACTCGTGGGTTGAGACTCATGGGCATTCCCCAGGTGACAATTCTTCCATAATGCCCTCAAGGGCTATCCATGTTGTCACAAGTGGCAAGCTTCCATTC